ATGTGCTTTAGTTATTAATTTATTAAATCATTTTTAATACTTTTAATATATTAAATATAATATTAAATATAATATTGAATAATGGTACATACTAGTATATAATTAGACATCTTAAATATTTTGTTCAAGTTATTCGAATTCGTTAAATTAAACCTATTTATATATCCTACTAATTCCCACAACAGGTCTCCATGCGAGGTATCCGATCATCTAAATTCATAACGATATGGGTTTATAGATTCTCTCATAAAATATAAATTAATAAGCTCTGATGTTTTGAGAAGAACGATCGTACAAAATTATCGGTTCGATTTCTTTTTAATTTCTCGTGTTTTGACATACTCAGTATATCTCTTTGCAGCATGCCCTGACGAGTTGTTCAAAGAATTGTGTCATTCGCTGGTAGCTAAGCACACAAAGACACTAAAAGAGATCAACATCGCTTTCATACCATATGAAGAGCAGGTAAAGCAACGAACACTATGGCAAGAAAAAATGTTTGATCGTTTCGTCCTTCATGGTGATGGGCATACACACACGTACAGAGACACATATACAAAACGCTATAAAATAATTATTCATTCACGCGTTCTATGTTCACTTCTCGGTCTTTAATCACGTAAATTTGATATTACCGCACGGGTCCGGATGTAAATCGGAACGATATTAATACCGCGTTATCCTCTTATCCGATCTGTCCAGTCCATCCTCTGAGCCTTTCACATTATTCATAAACAAGCACATACTAATAATCAGAATGCATTCATGCTTGCAATTGATGCCAGTATGCCCGGAGGAGCTGTTCAATGAAATCTGCAAGTCTCTTGCTGCTAAAAAGATCAAAACCCTCAAAGAGATCAACATCGCATTCTTGCCGTACGAATCGCAGGTGACGATTAAGCAGACGAAAATAATAGACGCTAGTTGTAGCTCTAGAGCGCGAGATTTGTCTTCAATCTTCGAGCATTCACAAGCTTAGAGATTTTTCTGCTTTTTCCGGATCGTCAGTTTACTTTTAGATTGCAAAAGACTAGGCGATATAGACTTCTTGTTGAGGAAAGTCTTCACACCACTTTTCCTTTTGACTCAAAAATATCTGTATGTTGTACATGCTTGTAATGTGAGCCGTATAGCCCGATTTTGTTATTTTTAAAGTTACTAATTGGCATGCTTATTTATTTTGCTTTAAGTACAAAACTTTGTAATTAAATTTACTTTTCTTTGTCGTAATGAGAATATCGCAAAACTGAATCTGCCGTTTTCTTAGGTCTTCTCGCTGGATTCGCGTGAAACTTTCGCTTGCTTTTACAACCCCTCTTTCTTTAATCTGAGGTCAGCCAATATGGAACGTATTGCTGAACAAATTGCAACACTTTGTGCCACACTTGGAGAATATCCATCAGTTAGATATCGCAGGTAATTTCGATCTAAATATGATTTAAAAACAATAACTTATTGTTAATTGTAATTTCTTTTCTTATTGATGAAGAATAATTACACAATTCTTGATAGGATTAAATAAATGCTATTAATATGTATCATAGTGACTTCGACCGCAATGTTGAACTCGCTCAATTGGTACAACAGAAACTAGATGCATACAAAGCTGATGAACCAACAATGGGAGAAGGACCTGAGAAAGCTCGTTCTCAATTATTGATTCTAGATAGAGGATTTGATTGCGTCTCACCTTTGCTACATGAACTTACGCTGCAAGCTATGGCATATGATTTGCTGGACATTGATAATGATGTCTATAGGTAATTAAATAAATTTAACACAATTGCACAAATTTAAAATAAAACTTTAATAATGTCATATAATATTAAATAGGTTTGAGGCAACAGCGGGTCAAGAAAAAGAAGTATTATTGGATGAAAATGATGATTTATGGGTTGAACTCAGGCATCAACATATTGCCGTAGTCTCTCAGTATGTATAAACATAAGTCTTGAACTTTCCAAAAGATTAATAATTATAAATATTGCAATAAAACGTTGTTTTTCAGGAACGTCACTAAAAATTTGAAAAAGTTTACAGAATCAAAAAGAATGCCGCAGGGCGATAAGCAAAGTATGCGAGACTTGTCACAGATGATCAAAAAGATGCCGCAATATCAAAAAGAATTGAGCAAATATGCTACACATTTACAATTAGCCGAAGATTGCATGAAGCGTTATCAAGGAAATGTAGATAAACTTTGTAAAGTGGAGCAAGTGCGTAATATCATAATCACTACCCTATAATCCATTTAATAAGATATTTTTTAATTATAAGTATTTTTTATCGTGTTCTCTAGGACTTAGCCATGGGTACTGATGCAGAAGGCGAACGTATCAAAGATCATATGAGGAATATCACACCGATTTTACTTGATCAAACTGTAAATCATTTGGACAAAATACGCATCATAGCTTTATATGTCATCAGCAAAAACGGCATCACCGATGAAAATCTTAATCGTTTAGTTCACCATGCACAAGTATCTGTTGATGATAAACAGACTATTGTCAATATAGCAAATCTCGGCATTAATGTTGTTGTAGATGTAAGTTAAAAGTTGCAAATCATATCTCATATTAAAAAGTTTTATAGTAACATTTTAAATAGTGATTTAATTCTATTTTTTTGCAACGTTTTACAGAGCAATCGTAAAAAGTTATATACAGTACCACGTAAGGAAAGAATCACAGAGCAAACTTACCAAATGAGCCGTTGGACGCCAATCATCAAGGACGTTATGGAGGATTCCATCGAGGATAAACTTGATTCTAAACATTTTCCGTTTCTTGCCGGACGAGCAGCTAGTTCAGGATATCATGCACCAACCAGGTATACAATAGTGATACTTTTTCTTTATCTAAATTTGTTGTCATTAGATTTCTAAAAATATCAATAACTTATAAACTTGTAGCGCACGATATGGACACTGGCACAAAGATAAAGGTCAACAGACCATCAAAAACGTTCCTCGTTTGATTGTTTTTGTAGTTGGAGGAATGTGCTTCTCTGAAATACGATGTGCATATGAAGTTACAAACGCATTAAAAAATTGGGAAGTCATAATCGGTAAGAATTTTTTGTATCCAATTTCTATTTAAGATAAAAAATAATTTATAACCAAAGCATGATTGAAAATTTATCTATTATTATAAAATATTTATATATTTTTGTAGGTTCATCCCATATAATTACACCAAAATCATTCCTGAATGATTTGAGTAAACTACACGTCTAAATGGTTGATATTTAACAAAAAGAGATAACATTCCTGAATTCCTAATTTGCCATTAGCTTCAATTCCATCACTAATACCATTTATGAAGCTATGAATGATCTCGAGTATGAAATTAGGTTATTTAACTAAATAACGAACACAAAGTCAATTCTCTTTAAGCGAAAGCATTTCGGACAGAAATCAAGCAAGTATCCCGTTGTCAGTTGAATAACAATGAAAGTATTCGTGTATTAATCGAGCACGAAGAGTCTTGATCAGACCGAGTTATCAAGTGCCTGCGCGAATACATAATCAGCAATCGTATGAGACACTCTGGCAATATTGATATAAATCGCACGAAGCTGTATAATCGAACCTTTCAATGGTATCGTAATCGAATCTTTAACAAAGCTCTAGAAATATATCATCATTATTCTTTATCAGTAATAAAAAGGAATTTGTGAAGCTGTGTTTACTTCACAGAAAAAGATCGTGATATTCTTGTACATTTCTTGTTATTAGTATTTTGTTATTTTTTTTTCTCGTTGGAACTTATGTTCCACTACCATGTTCAAATTGACATCTTAAGTGTAAATTGTTTTTGTTCTCAAGCATACTTTTACTTCTTCTAAAAAATTCTATTATAATAGAGACATTAAATCTATAAATGTCATGACACATTTGACTTTATTCTCTTTAAATGTATTATCGATGTAACAGCAATATAAAGTTATTTATTCGATATTAAGTTATTATTATTTCTTAAATCTCTAATTAATGGTATTGAATGTAAAATAAAATCGCTAAATACATACAGAAAATCACTAGATATACAGCCCGACACTTATTCTTCCTTTGTTAACTTATTTATCTGTACTTTTATCGGTTTATATACTCTTATACACTCCTCAGTTTACCAGAGATCGCCAATTCAGATGCTATATTTAATGTAATTTATAAATATATAATATTCACGATACATGAAAAAATCTTCAGCTCTCTCTTTGACAAATTGGATTAGTACTGCTTTTGTTGAATGTAATACAGGTACAACAATTATAATATATATAAATCAGTATATATTGTAAAATTTATCGCAATCGTTGTTCTACAGTTGTGATAAAGAAACGCTTTTCCGATCAGAAACTTGCGTTTGTCAATGAATACTGGTAATAATTATTAATGTAATGTCAATAAATGTTGCTATCTACTAGCGGAGAGATTATTACAAAGTTAAACAATATTTATAAAGTATATCCTGTTATAATATATATATATGTATGTATGTAGATTATAGTCTGAGCAATGTTCTACTTATAAAGGCCTATGATGCGCTCTACTCTTGAGTCTCTTTTTAATTATCACTATGCCACATCTATGCCAATTGAACACAGAATTATAAGAGAATATGATAATAAATATGATAGAAAAAAATCTATTTAAATGATGTCTTATTTAGAAAAATCTTGATATATCTATTACAGCTGATGAAGCTTCCGAAGGTTATCAATAAAGGTGATATTAGTCAAAGTTCACCAATATTAGCAAATATTATTTACAGACTTGACATAATTATCCATATTGAATATAGACCAATATTTAGCGAATATGTGTCATAAACATTAGCCATTCGTCTAGAGACGCCTTAATCCGAGGGTCAACAAAACTACTCCATTTAAAGTAGAAACGCAGCGAACTTTATTACTGAGTACTGTTATTACCAACTGTTTTCTCCTCCGTTAATTCAGTGTTTAAATTTCTGTCGAAAATGAGACCGTAAAAGATGTCAGAGTTAAAAGGAAAAGTAATTCTAGCATATAACGGTGGTTTAGATACCTCTTGCATATTGTTGTGGTTGAAAGAAAAAGGATATATCAAGTTATCGCTTATGTAGTATTTTTGTAATTACATAAATCCTTTCTAGAACAAATCGATATAAGAATTTGATTTAGACAAACATCGGGCAAAAAGAAGACTTCGATGCAGTTAAAGACAAGGCGTTCAAAATTGATGCCGCCAAGATAAAATATCTTTTGACAATACGAAATGAGATAAAAACACCGGAAACTGTATAGTTTATATAAATTTCATTATTTATTAAATGTATTTATAATGAAACACAAAATGTTCCAATCTTTCATTGAATTGAAGAATTTACACGACAAATTCAATTAATTATTACAAGATCGTGATAGACGATATCAGAGAAGTGTTCATAACTTCCTGTGTGGCTTGTGGTTTATTGTATGAGAGAAGATATCTTCTGGGTACTGCCATAGCATGACCGTGTATCAGCTAAAGTTTAATAAAAGCCGCAAAGGCTGAGGATTCCAGTATCATCGCGCATGAGACAATTGGAAAAGGGAATGATCGAGTTCGCTTTGAATTGAACTGCTATTGTACCCTGAAATTACTGTACTTTAAATAGTTTAAATCGATTTCATCAAAGATTTTACGAGCAATAGGAAAACAAATATGAAAAATATATATAGGGAAAAATAAAGTAACAAAAGTTTTATTTTAAATTCTAGATTCTTGTGGAAATGTTCCATGTATTCTTGTTTCACGAGTACAAAAATACAGTGTTAAAACATAATCGTGTCAAATTTTAAACTAATTATAAAAGATTATCAAGATTTTAGCTACGTGGAGAGAAGTCAAATTTTATACCAAGTTCCAAGGAAGATTGGATTTACTGGAGTACGCACGACGAAATGGAATCCCGATCTTTGCAACGTCAAAGGAACCGTGGAGCACTGATGCTAATCTCGTACACATTAGGTGTATAACACGAGTGTGTTCTCGTTATACGAACGAGAAAAGTATTGAAAGGAACATTAAAAGAATATTAATCTTATAATTTTAATTTATATATAGTTACGAATCAGGAATACTAGAGGATCCTATCATTCCAGCGCCGAAAAAACTCTACAAAATGACTGAAAACGACCACTGATCCAATCGATTCCACCTTGCAAGCGGAAGAAATTGAAATTAGCTTTAAGAAGAAATACCTGATTAACGTAAAGTCTAAAAGATGGGAAAATATTCAATGTTCCTCTCGCAATAATTGAATATCTCAATGAGATCGGCGGTGCACATGATACCGGATAGACATTTAGACTAAAAGTATATTACTTATAAAGCTATTTTTGTAAAATAAAATTTTTACGAAATGCATAAAATTGACTGTAACAATATTTGTTCAATTTCAGTCTCGAGCCGTTTACGAGTCGCCAGATGTTCACATTTTAGAAGTCGCGTATCGAGACTTGGAAATATGTACGTATTTACATTGGATCGCGAGATTCCGAGAGTCAAATCCTATCTGACAGATAAGATGTCAGATTACGTTTATAACGGTAGTCAGATATGCGGAGATGCAATATATAAAATTATAAAATACAAAAACTATATAACTATATATAAAAACTACAAAAGTATCTCTAAACAAATTGGATTAAATTCTTTAAAAAAATGCCTCACCAAAAAGGTTTCTAGTTTTCACCGGAATGCGATTTCGTATGAGAATGCATCCAGCATTCGCAAAGATACGTAAACGACACAGTTGAGGCTGCAGCTGTACAAGAGAAAGGATTTGCGCAAGATTCTTAATTAGAGCACAAAATTTATTGTCGGGCAATTATTCTTATCGTTAACATGATTATTTTTTTAGTCTATAACTGATAAAGGAATATCATTTCTTCTCTCTTGTAGCTATGACGATCGCCAGATCGAGCGAGATTTCGTTGTCAACCAACCTCTCGTCTCAATGGACGTACAGGACGACTACGAACCGGTGAATGATACTGGATTTATCCGCACGCATTTTCTGAGACTAAAGGAGTTTTATCGTTTCAATAAACAACACAATGTTTGAATCAAGATTTTATTGCGAATTTCATGAATAAAAGACGCACTGCGTTAAAACTCCACGCTACTTTATTTGCCTTAACATCTACGCGTATTTTCTTCAGACATAATTCGACAATTAACTGAATGGTTTCTGAAAGCTTTGCAAAGTTATCGCAGCAAGAAGAGTAATCGTGTGACAAAATGTAATTAACTCTAGACAAAAACCGTCTCTAGAAGTCCAATCGCTTTGCGGATCGCGCGCATGCAACAGTCGTGGGAGGAAGGTGAGGTTTCACAATAAAACACTATTACTACATCGTTTCTGTTTTCATTTTAGTAATTAATTAATTAAATCTTAAGATTACCTTAGCATATTCGTGAAGATTACAATACAATATACCATATCTTTACGGATATATTAATAGTATACACAGTGCGTGATCTTTTTTTCTTCTGCATCTGCACTATTTCGGCATAGCAATTCAAAGAAAGAAACTACCGTCAAGTATGAAATCATGACAGCGCTTTTTTTCTGATATATCTATATCTCGGCTGAGCGATTTTCTGTACAGATTCCTTATACTCGCGTTTCGTTTCGCATCACTCTGTTTTATATGTATTATGTAACATGCAAAATTACACACTAGGGAATAAAGTTCCTCATGCATATACAATGAATAATCTGTGTAATAACTCTTGTATTCACATTTGCACGTTAATATTAGTTCAAATATCGAAACCTGTTATTTCGTTTTATTTCTAATAATTAATAATAGTACAGATTATATATATATATATATATATGTATGTATAGATTGATGTTGTTAAATAAGTAGAGAAATTTATAATAGATACATATATGTATAAATCAAAATTGCAAACATGCGTCATAAAAAGATTCAATAAAAAAAATGTATTGTGCAATATCAATTACGTAACCTCTAAAGCATTAATAAAAAAAAGGAGAAAACTAAGGTTGTCAAAAAACTTGGTATATCTCAAATTTTTATATTTTACCAACAGATTATGTTACAAGATTGGAAAAATTGAAACTCACTGTAGTATTTGAATCAGTTTTTAATTCGATTTATTTATAAAAAATTATATTTAACATAAATACGAAAGTAATTTTACGAGCTAACGCCATCGATACAACGAAAAAAGGAAATATAGATACACGAACGCAATTAACGCTCAATTAACAACTGCTCTTTCTCTCACTCATTCTTTATCTCATACACACACACACACACACACACACTCTCTCTCTCTCTCTCTCTCTCTCCTTCCCTCCTTATTTAACAACATCAAGCAACATCTCTTTTACTTCAGCCATTTATTTTTCATTTCGTTATTATTTATGTACAACCAGTTTAAATGTTCGCTATCGTTAATCGTAGTAAGTTGCTAAAATTTGTGTTCTATTGGAGATGATGTGCGTTCGTGGGAACTTATATAAAAAATTACTTTTTGATACAGAGCTGAGTGATTTTGGTGTTACTTAGAAATATGGGTGGTGTATGTTATATCCTAACTTATGCTGAGATCCTAATTGATTATATAATCTATATGTCGGCTTTCTTATAAATCTTATCACATACATAGACGTTTGTATTATTAGTACTTAATATTTTATACATAGATATTTTGTATTCCGAATGCTGCCAATTTCACCTTTTATGTACAATTACAAGCTACATATTATACAATCTTAATATCTATTACGTGCACTCCTCTTCTCTTTCACACTTTCATTCTCCCTCCTAATTATCCCTTTCTTTCTATCATGCACTTATATCCTTTCTTTTTGTTTCTTTTTTGGTTATCACACATTGTCAAGCAATAATATGCTCACTTGTGCTGATCGCACACATGAGAAATATGTAATAACAAAAAAGAAACAAAAATAACATTCACTTTTTATAGGACATTATATTGAAATAATAGTAAACTGGTAATACAAACTATTAGCAGAAACATTTTGCAATTTATCAACTTTATCGTTAAATTGAATGCATTCATATCGTTAGCATTTACTCAATAAGAAAATTATGAGTATAATTTTTTAACATATTTCAATAGCTTCTGCCAATAATTTATATTATTATTTTACTATCCTAAACATTATCGTGAGTTATAATGTCCAAATCAAACCGCTAATAGTTCCATTCGAATGGAAAATTTTTTTACATATAGACAACCGAAGTTTATGAAATGAAACAAAACTTAAATCTATTCGAATCTAAATCACTTCTGATTGTAAAAATTTCTTTTTTAGTTTTTTGCAAACTGAGCATGATGCTAGATACTTTGCATATCATATGAAAAGAACACATATTTATCAATTTTTATACATTGCTAAATTGTTAATCTCGCACCGAACTACCTTATTAAGTGTATACATCAACAATAATATACTGATGACTAAATCATTGTACATACTAAACCGCGCGAATATTACTATCGCAGCGTGTAGATAGTATATTTTAAGAATTAGATCATAGATCCTTCTTAATTTTGATTAGATAAAAACTGCAAACAGGCGCCCGTATTGCGCCTGAAGACACATCAAAACAAAAAATTACAGAAATATTCTAATATTGCTAGATGTTGATGATCAACGATCAATGAGAGCAAAATCGTTATTTATATGAAACAAACAACACCCAAGAATAAATAGCATGTCTTTGCCCAAAGATCGTTTTTACTTTTCTGACGAGCTCCCCTTTATCTCCAATATACAAAATAATGAAAATAGGATTGTGAAGAGTGGCATGAACATTCGAAATTGGCTTTTCCATCAATAGTATATCAATAATATTCTTATATTCTTTTTAATTCTTCATCACGTTATTTCAATCTTTCACTTGATCTGTAATAGAGAGCTCGAGGGATGACGTTTACCAAAGAAAAAATTCTGCATTTATCAAAAAAGATCTTTTCACCTAACTCTATTCTTCTCCGTTCAATTAAATCCCGGCCATTAAATCATCAATTTTTTAATATTATAAAAATCATGATTTTGCTTAAAACCTCGAAGTTTTTAATTAATTGTGCCAACATAACGATTGCTCATTGCCGATAAGTATCGCCATATATACAACAAAGACTATATAAGTTTATGGTTCCTAAAAAAATAAAATTGTAGTTACACAAATAATTTATATATAATAATAGGTACTATTTTTATGTTATACTTGGTATATTATTAATGCCGTTACAGTCGTAACGTGTAATCTAAATACTTTTAAGAAATTAATTAATAATAATAATAATAACCACACACAATGAAAAATTGTTTTAATCACTTTTTGTACTTTTCTGGCGAATTAATTTTTTTTTATTTTTTTAGAATTTACTCGATTCGCGTACCTTGTTCGGGCGGTTCCATTAACTGGGCCATACCCAAAAGTTCGACAAACATATTTCGTCTGCTCGTTCATGATACGTCGAATAGGTTTTAAGACAGAATTATACAGAAAAATTCACCCGAAATTGCCCAAAAAAATTTTTATATTTTAATAACTTTTCGTATCGTGAAATACCATATCCTAGTAGTCGAATAAATATAATTCTTTTCTAACATGTTCTTTCCTAATACGTACAACATCACGATTTTCTTTCCCATGAGCCTAAAGTATACCGAGATTTAGGTACATAGTCTGATCTAATAGTTGGTAGGATCAAAACTACTTCAATTCTAGAATCATCTTATCGTTACTCGTAATAATTGACGACATTGTTCTAAAGTGAGTTAATGAATAACTTTCGACCAGCTGGCTCATAATAACTCTTGAATCGCAATCAATAGTATACGCTGTTAATATTCTGATCAATCAACAGTTGATCAATTGAAGTCACAAGTGGACAGCCGTGATGATCATTATTAAATTCACCAAGTTCTTAAAGATGTTCACATTATTTTACATGTTTCTATCATTATTCACATATACGCCTAGTTATATATTTCTGTGTTTACAGAGCGTATATGAATAATCGAGAAAGAAATTTGCAAGGGCATTATTAATGATAGTTAATAATTACATGTATTATTGGCAGAAACGCTTGTATACGTAATCCTACCAACGATTAATGACTCAATGTGGAAAAATACAAAACTTAACTAAATGTACACGATTTTTTTACTTTTCTTCAAGCCGACATTCGTATCTACGCACGCATTCGGTTATCACATGCAAACGTCTCTTATTTTCATATGTTGTTTTCAAATTTACATAAAGTACAAACTTATGAAAACCGGAAAAATGTAACACAATATCAGTGTAGCATTTTCGAAGTATCATATAAGTATTTATCTAATTACATAGTCGCACTTAAGTGTCTGTCGTTCTAGAGACAATAGTTTGTCCCAGTTTTAATAAACTGTTTGAATCTTCTGACGACCAAATGGGTTCTCTGTTGAAATGTTCCAACCGTACCACTCAATTATACCATTTTTAAGATAACTAGCATATGGTCTATGTCGCCATCATTATTATTTAATTGATTTCATTGTCTGCGTTGTTTTTGTTTATATTGATTGACGTTACATTTATTAGATTTCTATAACATCGCTCAACGTTAAACATACGTCCGAGTTCTGCAAAGTTTTTGTGGGTTTATTATAAACAGGATATAGTAACATTATAAAGATTCCTCAAACGCAGCCATCAAATCGCTCTGCATGTTCATGTCAATTTGGCTAGCCATCTGAAAAGATAAATAAAACTATTCTTCGCAAATCCCTTTATTATGGGCGTCAAAGATAACATTTTCATGTATCCCTATATAAATCTACTTAAACAATCAAATTTACTTTAAATTATATAGCAAGTTATAAATTATAATCAAATTGTAATAATTTATAAAATTAATGTCACATAATATAGATTTTATTTTTATTATATCTTATTTAATAATTATATTCTGTTTGTTCTTATAATATGTTGTCGTCTAGCATGTATGTACCATAACAATTAAATTCAAAAGTAGTGTATCATTAACCGGTTATCTTTATAGAGATATCTATCAAATTATATTCAGATCATACAAGAAACAATTCCTTTTACATGCGATTATATAAAATTAGATTTTCATACGTGATAAATGTCACACAAATTTCTAATATTGTTCATTTTGATCTAATGATCCTTCTATATTAAACTTTTTTTCTATTATTTTTTCTTGAAAAGTTACAACAGAAATTTCATCAATCCAAAAATATTGAGTACTTACCGCTTCTCGTCGTCGGCGCTCTTGCTCCCGTTGCCTTAGACGTTCCCTTTCTGCAGCGGACTTGTCCTGACTGGATGAATGACTTGGACTACTGCTATCTGTATCAGTAATGGCTTTTACTTCTTCTGTTCTTGTCGTGGCAGTCATAACATTGCCTTGTTGATCTCCAATATTTTTCCTAACTTTATCCAAGGCATCCTCTTCCTCTCGTTCTCGTCTTCTTTCATTCTCCTGTCGCAATAATCTCTCTCGTTCCGCTTGTTCCTTCTGTTGTCTGCGCATCTCTTGTTGCTCTAATAGGGCTCTTTGCTGTTTTACAAATATTAATATAAAAATATTATTATATAGCTGTGTGGAAATATTATGTAACATACGAGTTATTTTGTAGAGTTATTGGAACTAACCCTATCCTGCTTTTCTTTAGCTTGTTTCTTAAATGCCTGGAATGAGTCTCGCGCTGCGCTTTTCATGCTACTGCCCGCAGCTGCTGATTGAGGACTTGAAGCTTGCGCCAAGGAAGACCAAGATGATGCATTCTTTACATTCTGTTCTACAGTCTATATAACCGAAAAAACAGAACTTGAGGAATAAAATCGAACTGCATCAAGGATTAAAATTAAAAGTAGAACAATTTATTATAATATCCGTCAGTGTCTCCACGACGCCTTCCTGTTTTTCTTATTTTCTTGAATCGACACTGCGAAGACTCCTCATTCTCAAAAGACTAAAAGTCACGTTACTGTTACCGATCTTTCTCGAAACAAATATAAACAAAAAAAATGTTTTCTTGATCTCGGAAAGGTCGTAGTTTTCGATAAATATAATGAAGGTCTCCGCGCTAACATGTCTATTTGTCTTGTATTCCTCTGGTCTAATTTCTTATATGTACAAAATAAATGTATATATGTATGTTTGTATGTGTATGTACCGAAACAAAGAGTGAGATCCGCAAATATCATTTATATTATACAGATTATGCAATCGTCACAATATAAAGAAATATACGTGTAATATATAAAACAAACATGTATAAAAAATAATATATTTAAAAAATTAATTTATGCTTCTCGCGCATGTATAGTTTGATGTAAATATTCAGATCAGAAAATGGCTTTTTACCTTATTTTTAAAGGCTGATGCAAAGTTTGCAGCCGGATTCTTTGAATCAGGTGGAGTCATCTTCTTTTCAGGCATTAATTGAGTACTAGAATGATTACCTATTGGTGGCATTCCTAGGGTGTTCATTTCTGCAAAAAAAGCTCCTGCTAGAGCAATAGCATTATATATCTGGTTAGTAAGCAATTTAAGTATAGCAGTTAAACATGTAAAAAATAACATTGTTACTTCAAGCGTTAATAAAGATGAAGAAAGAATTCTACACATAAAATTCGAAAAGCCATATTAAATGATAAAAATGGGATTATGATGAAAATAAGATTGAGTGCATCAAGAAAAAAAGTAAATTTACGTAGAAAAAATTAAACTATTAGTGTTAAAACAATTAATGTGCGTTGCATTACTTTATACTAATGTATATTGCATTGCTTCTTTTATTTTATTTTATATATTATAAATTAGTGTATATATAATTATATATTTTGATTTTTTTATTGCAATATTAATTAATATCTATTCTTTGAATTATTTCTTCAATAAATATAATTTACTAGTATTTTTAGCCAAGGAAAGATGAATAAGTATTTGTACAGCCTACGTGTAAAGAAAAGCATGCTATAAATATATAAATATGAGGCACGAACCATCCATAGGCTTTTGCGTCAGTTGAGGTTGAGAAATTGGCAAGGGCTTTTCCTCTTTTTTTATGGGAATCTGAGAAATCTGCATCGGCATAGATGCTATAGGAAGGGGATCAAATATCGAACTCATGCCTCCTATATTCATTCCCATATTTAATCCTGGAATGCTGTTATTATTCAGCATATTGGGCGGTGAATTTCCACGTTTTGTATTTGGAAATCCGTTGGAATGCTGCTGCGACATCGTAACGTTATGCGAATTCTGTATATTAGTCAACGGCGCAGTAGTATTAATCATATTCTCTAATTGATTGTGCATAGACATATGTGCCGCCAGTCCTTGCGATAAATTCATATTTAAATTTGTCATATTGATATTGCCCAAGTTCAGATTAGAAGCCATACTCGTCGGCATCATGTTCATAGATTTTACATCCGGTAGTAAATTGAGATTGGTGTTGTTATTGGTATTATTTGTATGAGATGTTTGAATAAATGAAGACTCCTTCTTGATAGCGAGCGTTTGATCCAAGGTGGGCTGTGATTGAATAAATGAAGACTCCTTCTTGATTGCAAGTGTTTGATCCATGGAAGATTGTGTAGTAGGCACTGAAGCTACATAAAATACGTATATAAGATGATTAACTTTGTATTTGCTTTTCATATATAATTAAAAATTATTTTATGCGTTGTATTTATAAACAATACCAATTGTATCTAATTATAGATACCTAAAGTATTGTATGGCTGTAAAAGGTCAGATTGTTGATTTAAATTTGTTCCGTCTGTGGATACGGATGTATTTGGAAAGGAACTAATGGACGTTGGCTGCTGCGATGGTTGTTGAGATACAGCTGGCGAAGCTGTCATAGAATTTGTATTTGTAGGTGTGACGCTGGGCGGTGGAGTTGGTACGGAGACCGACGGAGTTGGTGGGTTAGATGTTGTCGGTGGTGGTGGTGTTGGTGTTGGTTTTTTTACAGGAGCGGCCGTAGCCAGAGCTGTAGGTCGTGACGGTTGGGCTGGCATAGATGCGTGACTCGCGACAGGTATACTTTGCCCTGTTGTAACAGCAGCCACTGCGACAGGCTGTTGATTATTATTGCCTCCTAAAAGAATTTTTACACTTACACGTCTTATAGTCTATCAATTTAATATTTAATCATAAATATTGACATCTTTTTTCAATAACACGATATGTATTTCTTTCTAGTAATTTGTATGTCACTTCTAATAAAAAAAAATTATCTATAAATAACACTGTCCGGCATGGATTCTAAATTACGAACGGAACAGAGATTTTTACAAATTTTTTGTCGCTGAAAATAAATCTATAAATAAAATTGCTCTATCACATCATTTTTGAGAAAATTGAACTTAAGTGTCAAAAATGGCATTTTTGGCACTTTAAATTAAAGTATCCCCAAAACATGACGCATTAGAGTAATTTTTTTTAGGAATTCATGTTTTCAGCGACAAAAAACCTATAAAAGTCATTTATCACATTGGCTGCTTTATATAAGTTAACAGTTACAATGAAAAGAAAGGAACTTAAATCCGTAAATAAATATAATAATCTTTTGAAGATCGCTTATGCAATTTGAATAATCACCTGCTGCATCTAATGATTTGTGGGATCGTTAATTATAAATCTAATATCAAAATTATAAAATATAATTTGTTTAAACAATTAACAAAATTTGATTTGAATAAGTACTAATAGGACTATTGGATTTTGCAGAAAAAATAAGTAGTGCATTGTACTATTCTCTCTTCTGTTATGCTTCCATTCTTCTTCCATTCGTTGTAAAAAAATAACTTTAAAAATTCGACAAAAATTCGAGGACAAAGCAATTCTCAAAAGATTACATTCATCTATAAATTTAAGTTTTGTTCTTTTCATTGCAACAGTTACTTTTTCCATAAAGCAATCAATACAATGGAAAACTTCTATAGATTTTTTGTCACTGAATCCAAATCTGTAAATAAAATTGTTCTATCACGTCACGTTTATAAGGTATTTTAATTAAAAAATACAAAAAATGCCATTTGCGATACTTTTAAGTTCAATTTTCTTAAAAAAGTGACGTGATAAAACAGTTTTATTTACAGATTCATTTTAAGCGACAAAAAATCTGTAACAAAATCACTTTGTTTCGTTTGTGGTCTGGAAAAATCTATAAATTTGTCGGACAGTATAATCTTATTATATATAAATTATTAGATTAAAAAATTTGTAAATCAGTAATTATAATCATATACTGCCAAGTCTATTAACAAAACCATGGATAGAACAAAAAATTAATCCCCCCAAAAAAAATAGTTACAACATATCTTTATGACAAGTGCGATAAATAAGCGTGTAAGTGTCGAGAGAGATCTTAGAAAATTTAATTTTAGTTTATAATGAATCTTACAAAAGAAGAAAGTATCCCTGATGTGAAAATTACTAATCAATATAAGAGTTATTTTTTATGATTTCATTAATACAATACCTGATTCCGAAGGGATATTGCTTGAGTGAGTAACAGGCGGCTTTGTTATTGGTCCCGTAGAATTCGCCAGTGGCTGATTATTCATTAAAAGAGCTCCACTATGATTTAATGTAGGTGCCTATATATGAAGAGTACATTATCCTTCTTATCAATATTTACATGTTAAAATTATGTGCGTCGAAGTGAGACAAACATTGTTATAAATATCATCAGGGTTGCCACAAATTTTTCGTCCCAAAATTCCCTGACATTTCCCTGACATTTCCCTGCTTTCCAGACAAAATTTTCTGATTTTCCCTGACTTTCAATAATACATATTTTGAAATTTGTTTTTGTATTTTCATCCTGATTTGAAAATCCTTAAATATTTTGTTGATAGAGCAATTTAACATAACAGTGTAAATTATTATTAATGTTGCTGACGCAGCATTTAATTGTTAAGTTAGTAGTATTAGTGAGTCTTTTTTTTATGTATGAACACGATTCTTTTCCTCTTCCTCTCTTTCTCTTTGCTGTTATTTATTATCAATAAACAGCAACAAGAGAAAGAGAGGAGAATATAAGGAACATAAATCAATGAATACAGTTTCTTTTTTATCAAAACTAAATCCTGTTTATTAAAATCTCAATTATAAAGGCTATCCTTCCCTCCACCACGCGTTATCAAGTGGTAGTACAAGCCGTGAGAACACATGAGGACGCGTAACTAAAATTGCGTGGCTGTGATGTACGTATATTTTAAACTTCTTTACAGCCGTTTTATTTTTTCAAAAAATTTTGCTAAATCCCTGACTTTTCTATGACTTCACTGACCATTTTCAAATTCCCGGACTTTTCCGTGACTTCCCTGATTTCTCTGACTTGTGGCAACCATGATATGATGTATTTGCAATATAATTTGCACTAGCCTTTTAAGTAATCTAATCTTTGTAAATTCGGAATCAGTATTTAAAAATATTAAGAAACACACAAAATAATGTGCATTATCTAGAAAATATTTATGAAAATTTACCCTATAGTGTAATATAATGAATAAATATATATACGCTTAATTTTCACTGAAACTTATTACAATCAGTTAATCTTACCGATGCGACAGAAGCAGTTGTTGCAGAAGGTCCTGTACTTGGTGGATTCTTCTTTGTTTTCTTTCTATGTGGACGATTCGAGGAGTTTCCTGAAATTCAATGTAATGTGCATCTAGTAGTGAGTTATGTGCGGTCAATCATAGTTCTGTCACATCAAGAGCACAGGTCGATGAAGAACTAGCAAAATGCAATGTGCAGAGGATACCAGCTATTGAGTGTCGCAAAGCGCCAAGTAAAATGCGAAGATACATCAGAAACAAAAATCAAACAACTTTGTGCGTATATTTTCTAATAGATTTTATTCATATGCTTATATTATAATTGTATCACTGTGTACAACAATGTTAATTTAAATATCTCAATTGTATGCTCCTTTTTTTTGTGGACTTTCATCTTAATGATTCTTTTATATTAAAAAATTTTAATACGCAGAACAATTTTTTCTTCCCATTCTACGTAAAGTTAGTTGTATTCAATTCATTTATGAATATTTGCGTGTATATATATATATATGTATACACGTACATACATACATACATATCGCACGCGCGCCCACACATACATGCATACGTGTCGCGAAATTGTCACACATACATATATGTCTCAACATATATATATGCGAGAACACATGCCTACTCTCATCGTTTTAGTGTATCGATACTCATGATTTATTACAATAACAGTAATAATAATCGTTACGGTGGCGGAAATGACGATTATAAAACATTGACTACAAAAATCATCAAACTGCCGTCTTTCTTTTATCTCTTTTCGTATAATATAATATAATTAATGTAATATTATATAATAATAGGAGTAATGTGTAAATAATAAAGGTCACATAAATGGTACAATACAGGCTCAACTTAAAGATGAATGATACAAGAGCGACAAACTCTTACAAAACTGTTTAATGTTAAAGTCGTAGTTAGCGCAACACTGAGATCGGTGGCAAGAGACTCCTGCTCGATGTTCATCATGTGTATTACATAAATCAGCGGCGATGGTAAATACATGGAAAACTGTGGTAACACAAGACAGTATTATCTATGTCTGATGTGTGCTCTCAAAAAAATCGTGATTGTAACAATTGTGAAATCACAGCACTGAAGTTTATCGATGGAATGTGATCGACAAGCTTGCTAAATCCATTCGAACAATGAAAGCAACAAAACAACGAGGAGGAGTACCAGCGTATCTTAATTTATATAATATAGTTAACTGGACCACCACATATGAGCCAACCGCGACTCTTGAAGAATTAATGTCTATTTCACTCGTTTAACTTTGTGTATGCACTTAGAAAATTTTCGCGCGTCGAGTTTTATTCCTTCATAAGTGTAACTTACAACTATTTATTAATATTTTATGATATATTAGTTTTCACTATGTACAAAGAACACGTACGACCGTGTTTATCGTTACTATTAAACTTGCGATATACGCAAAAAACAGACGGAACGCTTACATACGACTCTGGAGAGGAAGATAATTAGCGCAATTAAATAAAAAGTATAGTGTCATTTGCTGAATGTAACAAAATATTTAGAATCCTTAAATCTTGCTCTTGCGTATAACGCAAGCAGGAATAATTCATAGCAGGAAGAATGACGTTCCAGTCTGGATGAAAAGACGCGGAAAACAAAATTTAGATGCGTGCTTGCATATAGAATTGCTACAAAAATTTTGGAAGGCAATATGAATATCATTTATAAAATGCCCTATACCTCGCGTTATAAACTAATGCTGATTGTATCTTAATAGATGCGTAGTATCTATCTAATTCAGCATACGCCGTTCAAAATTTGTTCTCTCACAGTCTAGCTAATTCTTCAGATTTTTCTAGTCACTTTCAGTATCTTGGGAAACATAAAATGGTAATATCAACCTGCCCGACGTTTCTCGCACCTATTTGTAAATGCTTATAGTTCCATATCAATAATTTTCTTAGATATCGACGAACACTTTTTTCCGATCAATTACGGTTTGTTTGTATCAAGTTTTGTATCGTAGTAATTAATCGCCTAAACTCTTATCTCCTTCTCTTATTTTCGTCGGGGCAGTAAGTACGTTGCTCTGAGTGTATGATTCATGATACTATTTAATTGTACTCGAGTGCAAATTCGATTATCCTTAATGCTCATATCATGACATGTTCAATTACAAGGATTGCTTCTTGGAGCATCCTAAAAGAGCGTCATTATCGGTTATGTTCACAATAAATTCTTATATATATATTTTGCTACATGTAAGAACTAAATTTACACGATGTTTTAACAAAAAAAAAAAAAAAAAAAAAAAAAAAAAAAAAAAAAAAAAAAAAATTATCGAGTAGACATTTACACATAGAAATATAAAAACAAAATATTAAAATTAACCTTGTTTAAATTCGTATAAAAGATTTTCTAAAAACGTTTTGATAGGACACGCACGAGTTAAAAGTAATGTTATTTCGAAAATTATGTATCGATAATATTCGTTATTTGGAAATTCCTTGATATCTCTACAACACATGTGAAATTCTATTGTGACGAGAAACGAAGTGTATGCTTAACAGAAATAATTAGTACTTCATATATTAAGGCATGTAAAACCACACCAATTCGTAATCGTCATTGGAATAATGATATCAATTTCAATAGCAAGAAGACAATATTTCCAACTTTTCTTTTAACCATTTTTGAGCGATGAGAAAACTGACAATGGTTACCGATGAAGAACTAGTGGTAAATAGGATGAAACGAAGATTAGCAAAGCTTAGCGGAGTGCAAACAATGTGTCTGGAGGCTAGGGCGCCATGTGTATACATATGTATATACATATATAGATAAATATTAGACCATCTCCTTAAAACTTGTTTCCCTTCCTATTCCTTTTCCCTTTCCAGTTGCTTTCTTCGTGCGATCAATCTTTTGATCCTTTCCCATCTCTGTCGTTTCTCGGTCTTACTTTCTACTCCTTTACACATTAATTTAAACTTTGTGTGTATATATATATATACATATATATATATGCTCAAAGTTATTAATTTTATGAAAAAACAATGAGATCTGTCAGAATTCAGATATGAATGTACTCCGCACCAATATACTAGACTCATAATAATTACTTCATTCAAATCTATACATTCAGAGTAAGGTAATAAGGAAGATTTGTATCAGTTTTTGCTTGCTTCACACAAGCAACGTAATATTGTTATCAGATTCGGCTTACAAGAGACGAAACATTTTAATAATTGACTTCTTAAAGGAAGCACATATTTGGCTATGATAAGCTAAGCTTGAAATGGAATTAGTAATCTGAGATAACTAGGAGTGAGTTTCTTCACGTTGAGAAGAATCTTGTTAGAATTTTTTTTGCGGAGACAAGAGCGTAGCTTACTATTAAAATGCAACGCGTAACTATGCTAATCTTAAAATGCACTGATTTGCAAATCTAGCCACCAATACACATTGTCTGCAATTTCTCCCGTGTGTATCGCTATGATCGTTGCCTAATTTATCTTTTTATATTCTGTACTTCGACCGATGTCATTAAAATTCACAGTTTAAAATGTGTGGAAATGTGTGACCGTTTAAGAGCATAAACGCACTTTAAACGTCAATACAATGATAATATTGCGTATTATATACCCACTTGAGTTTGTGGCGTATATTAATATCACTGTTTTAGGATTCTGAGAAATGATACGGCATGAATGTGAATCAATGCAAGAAAACAAACTTAATGATTCGAAAACACAGTGATACAAGTAATGTAATGTTCTGCTTATCGTTTAATGCAAATAAATAACGAGTTTGCAAAAATTAATATATTACATTATCTTTCGGGTTATATGGGGCAATATAATTATCGGGGAAAGCTACGATAAATAGTTGTGTAACTTATTACAAGGTACTAATATTCGACACTACAGTCAAGGCAACAATACACTTTGATTAAGTGCAATGTCGCTTATTGCAGAATAAAATCTTTTCAGACATTTTACTAACCTTAGAAGCAATGACTTTCTTACGAACCCAAAAGGCGGAACTGCAGTGAAAAATTCAGTGACCTTGAGTAGCAAACTATACTTGACTTTCGAACAACAGAATGTACTTTCAACACCGATAGGACAAGAGAAAATAATCATATTGTTCAGAATCAATAATATAATTCGTGAAACAAGCTGGCATGGTATCCTCTAAACACAGTCTGCACTCCACTAGCTCACCTTTGTTCTTACCATTGCATATGTCTCGTAAATTAAATAAAAATTTTTTTAACTGTGTGTCAAGTTTCGATACTTGTACACGATTGCACATCTACGATACTTGTATAGCGAACAACATACAAAATTACGTAGACATGACAAATCTTGTTCTATAGCTCGTTTACAAGATGAAACTTGACACCGCATTCATACTTGTATTAATATAACGCAGCACTTAAGCTACATGAATAACGCTGTCCTAATAAATACAATAATTAATAAGCACGATTCAGCAGCTTAAGAAGATATTTGCGTTAAATCCCCATTTAAAGAAATTGTTTATATCTAGTTTGTAACTTCCTTTTTGCATAGCAAATATTAGTCATACATTATCATAATAATATTAATGACTAATAATATCAGCATTTTTCGATTGTTTCATTTGCCAATAGAGAATTGGTTAGGCACAGAATCCATAAATATTTTTCAAAGTTCTTAAATTTATCACCAAATCATGAGGCATTATATTTTTCAATTAAAGTTTATCAAACTATAACATAATAATAGAAATTAATAATATATAGAACAGAAAAGATACTAAAGTTATTTATTATAAGCATTGATGCAATTATTGATTACATATTACGATGTACAGCTTATAATATAATTTTAAATAATATTAACAGAAAATATTCAAAGTTTTATCATAACTTTTATCATACTTCATACTTTTAACGTATTGAAATTTAATAATAATAATAATTATTATTATAATATACTTTCAGTGGTACTGTATTATTAAGAAATTTTGTATGTATATATGGTTCATAAAATCATTTTAATACTTCATACAAATCTATAGAATTAAATGCCACATGAAATGATGAGCTGTTTTTTTCACAACTATGAACTTCACGTCTACGACTTTGCGACTATTTTTGTTAATAGAAAATTTCTTATCGTTATAAATCGGTAATGTCATATATGATATTAAATAACACGCAAAAAAAGACACGCACAGAAAATAAAGATTTTTAAACATGTAGAAATATCTCTACCTCCCAGACAACTCTGTTACACTTGGCGATGAGAAAAAGCGCATTAACAATCTAAACCATATTTGTCTTTTCTGCGTTTGTAAAAATGTATTGTCTTTTATTATTTAATTTGGGCGTAAACGTGAGTATGAAAATCTGTGCTTTATAGTGCAACTGTTAGGAAGTAACAAATTTTTTTGCAAAGAACTCGAAAGTAGTACGAAATACGTTATTTTCTCGAAAGTATATTTATATACCTATATGTATATATACATATATATTAAATTAAAATAATATACAAATATATATATTGAAACAGGTAGTCGTACGTAATCCTATAATTTTGAATCTATCACCGAAAAAGTCATTCATGTGACAATTCAAGTCATTTCTGTGACAACTACTTAGTTACAAGTAGTTCTTTGTTCCCAGGTAAGGGTCTAATAATAACAACTTATTAGTTGCATTTATATCTAACCTGCTTCACTGTCGCTCGAATCAGTACTCGATGAAGAAAGCGAACTACTGCTGGAGTCACTATCGCTGCTACTACTGCTCGACGCTGACAATCGCGAAGGTCCACTGGCACCACCAGTTCCAACTACATCAACGGACTTACTACTATCTTCTGTAATAAATACATATAAACGATTTTGTTATTACACTCTAATTTTACTTACACTTCAAACATATTTCTTGATATATTTAGAAAATATAAAAAAAATTAATCAGATACTAACCCTTCTTGGCAGTTTTCTTGACATTGCCTAACTGCCCTGTTACGTCCTGTAACCTCTTTTCCAATTCTTGTTTCTTTTCAGCCATTTGTTCATCCTTGGACTTACCACTGACTTTCTTATCTGTTAACACATGGTAAAATACTATGTAAAATATATTGTATAAGATATATAAATTATATAAGATAAATATATATTATACAAGAAATTTATTATGTTATAAGTATGCGTATGCGCGCACGCATGCATATGTAGATTAAATTAGAGTTGAGAAATACTACTTGTAACTAAGTTACAGTTAAGACCGTTTTCACAATATGTAATTACCTAAAGATTAAAGGTTACTAAGAGATTTATCAATGAAATTTTAATTCTTTATTTCTTTAAGTAACCATATATTGTGAAAATAAGGCTTACAGTTATTTTTTTCATAATTTTAATTTAACTTTATCTCCAACTATAACTGTAACTTAACTTAGGTCCAATTTTTCATTATCTGGTTAACTTATGGTAACCTGTGACATCACAGATGAAGCCCATTGGATATGCCTAACAATGAGTTAACCAAAAAATGAAAAATCAGATCTTATTTACATTTCTTTTAGTAATTGGTAACTAATTTGAATTACCTTTACAGTTACTTTACATATTCTGAATTTATTTATCAATTAAATGTGATTGGTTAGAACCTGAATAGTTGCGTTATTGCGCACTACTGGTTGCATAAAAGACAAAGGCTGCGTTCAAAAGATAAACAATAATTTAATTTTGCTTATTGTTAATATTTTGCTGGTTCTTTATCTCTAAAGAGAAATTAATCAATCACAGTTGAGATGAGAATAATTGATTAAAATTGGTCACTTTTTACCAACTTACTACGCAATATTACTCCTATTATAGATGGTCTTATATTTTCTACTATGTTTGGCTGATTCGCTTACTATTTATATCTTACGTTTTTTTCTATGCGTTTCTGACTTAAGGATCCTGAGTAGTCACCACAGTGCCAACGGCATATAACAAAAATCAACGTGTCATTTCTCGCTTCTGGCGCGACGATTCAATATGGCTGTGGTGACTACTCAGTAGACCTATTCTGCAACTTTTACCGGTAGTTCGATATCGTTATACTTTATCGTTGTGCAGCTTTTTCACCATGTAAAATACCTGCTCAATAACATTCCTAGCCAATAAAATTGTCGTTAAAAAGTTATAGAATAGGCCTACAGGAGCCTTAATACTTTCTATCTTTTAAATAAAATTGTATAACATATAAAAACGTAAATCAATCTTTATCTTTGTTGGTCCTAATAGTGTTAAAATAATTGAAAAGTTACTTTTTAGAGCCAGTAAATTGTAACGGTAATTAGGCCCGGTAAAAAATTATTCCTGTTAAATTTATAGTAAAGCTTACGTGGCTTCTTTCTGAGGCATGATGCAACATAGCTTTCCAGTTCTCTAAGCGTTGATGGCTTCAGTGTCTCGAAATCAATTTCGATTTCATCTGGATTTGAATCCCTCAGTGAAGGTTCCCGAGACTGAATTATGTGTACCACACGACCTAATTTATCACCTAAAAAAATAAAATAAATTAATAAAAAACTGATATTTATAGTTGATTTTTTTCATTATTATATTTTCGAATAAACAAAATAATTTACAGTATATATTTTACAGAACAGAATTACATAAATAACAAAAAAGTAGAAATAAAATACAATATCATAATAACAATAATAATTTTACAAACATTTGGACAGTAATGGTTTTATATTCTGTCATATTATAGCTGACTATGCAATAGTTCTTGTCTTAAAGATTTTTGTACATATTTTTCATATTAAACATTCTCTCTCTTGCTATATAATCTTTTCATTAATATAATTAGAATTTTAATCTAACATATTTTACCTGGTAGTTTATTAATATCCAAACTGAGCTGTCTTTTCTCGTCGTAAGACATTGGTTTAGCACTATCTTCATCTTCCGAATCAAACGAAATCGGAGGTGGTTGATTGCTAGTATTTTTCTTCTTGTTCCCAGTAGATCTGCTGTTAGCCTTTGGCCTCTTGGTTGCGGTATTTGCAGTTGTAGCAGCTTTACCAGGTCCCCGACCTTTACCTTTTGGCTTAGCATTCGCTGCTGTCGGCAAATGATGTCCTAAACTTCCTGCAGCATGAGTTTTATTAGGTCCTACTGCCGTAGTTTGATGATGAAGATCGCTAGCTATGCCACCAGGCATTTTTAAATCGCCTGCACCCATTGCAACACTAGCTATACTAGCACCAACACTATCGGACACGTTGGGAATGCCACTTGGTTTCATAAGTTCTTTCATGGCACCAGTATGACTGGCAACAAGGCTACTATTCTTATTGCTCATTGGCTTTGATTTTGGCTTGTCTGGCTTTTTCTTTTTATTTTTCTTTTTACCACTCTCCTCCACCAATTTCCTCATTTGCTCCTGCATAGCTTTCAACTATAAATAAAATAGTATAAATTATATTTTAATCTGCATGTGCCTATAAAGTAATTTTATTTTATTTCGAAAAAAACATACATATTGTACTTATACAGAAGCTATGCATTTCGTGAGTTATCTCCGTGTCAACATCCATCATTAGAATGCCAACATTTCGTGAGCATTGCAGTTCACTTTATCAGGGCGAAGAGTAAGAAGATAACCCACAAAGCGCATAGTTTCTGCATAACAGTACCCGTGAAAACCTCAAAAATATATATTATACCTCTTGTTGTAATTCAAGTAATTTTTGAGTACGTTCTTCAACTGAATCTTCGCTATCGGAAGAACTATCTCCTCCAGAACTGCTACCACTACCGCTACTACTTCCTTTCATAGTTCCCATACTACTACCCATCGGTTCATCGGGAACTTTAGCATACCTAATTATGTATTAAGATAATTAGATAATTCTATCATGTATTTAAATTCCACGTTGTAGAAAATTTTAACTACCAACCTCATCTCAAATATATCTTGAAGTTTTCTAGCCATTGAAACAACATCATGATCGGGAGGATTATATTTGTAACAATTTGTAAATATAAGTCGTACGTCACTCGCAAATTCATGTGCAGTTTTATATTGACGATTATCCATTTTCGACTATAAAAAAGTTAAATAAATTTCAAATTAATTAAAAAATATTAAAATATATAGATTATTTAATTATATTATAGAAAATATATTATAATAATGTAAATTTTGTGATAATTTTTTGTAATTCTCATAGTTTTAGAGAAATTTTATAAGTTTATAAGTTTAACTCGTTCTGTACAATATCTGTGATTAATATAATCAAAAATATATATACCTTTACTGTACCAAGATCCATAGGTTTCTTGATAATTTCATGATAGTCATGAAGGCCTAGAAGTTCTGCATCAACAGGTTTGTAAAAAGGCCAAGCATAGGGCTGCATATTATAAGAAAAGAAAAGATTAAATTACATGTTTCAGAGAGTATTATATTATTTGTAATAATAAGTTTGTCATATATGAACATCACAATTACCGAATGTTTTTTAGCGAAAAGTTCCTTTAAAATATCATTGCAAGATTTTAGGGCTTCAGACAATTTTTCTTTTCCTTTGACACCAGCATGCGGAGGCTAAAAAGTAAGAAAAAAACATATAGAAAACAAATTGATACATCAAGTTGTAATTTATTTTACTTAAAAGTAAAATTTTTTAAGGAAGATAGATAATTATATCACAATATCTTTAATTTTATTTTTAAAATATATGATATAAAACAATAAATATATTATTAAGTCTTATAATTTATTTTTACAGTAAAAGATTTTCAATATAAAATATGCCATAAAATATATAAATTGTTATTTAATATAAATTTGATAATTTTTGCTTGATAGATGACGAGACAACACAAATGAAAGGAAGGAATATGAAGGAATAATAATAAATGTACCTGTTGGGCCATTGCCCCCATAAGAGGCATATTGGCCTGATGGTATGGCACTAAGCCGTCTTCCGCTTGTCTCGTTGGCTGAAACAGCCACGACATGAGTTGTTTAAATTGCCTTTTAATGATATATTACTTAATTAATCATTGGTCAATGATTAAAATAATTAATATGATTCATGAAATGATATGATTTTATAGATGCGAGGAACAAGGATGTTTATTATGTATTATCATCATGTAAAACATAATTTGTACTTTTCATATTTATAAAAAATATATCAATAATAAAATTACATTTATTTTAATCTATTGTGATTTTTTTACATATTTATTATATAGCTATTGTATTTTTATATAAATTTCAAAATCTTTAATTTTTGATAAAATGTATGTACATTCAAAACTTCAAATTAAACAAATAAATATATATATATATATATACATACACACATATACAACACACGCATGCACATTTATTATTTCATGAATATTTTGTTTTTCATCTATACAAATATGTCACATTTCATATATCAAACGTAAGTCGTATTTCTTTAATTCAAACACAAAATATACCAATAAGGTAATAAAAAAAAGAAAATATATACTCACCTTCTTAATTTGCCTGCCAGATTCCCTTCTCGTAGGTATTTTGGCATTCTTGGAATCCATAGGTGTATACAATGGATCAAACGCGTTTGCGGTAGGAGTTGTAGTATCAGCTTTTCTTTTAACTCCCTTTTTAAGTTTGGCAGGTTGTGATGGAGGCATTACAGTTGGTGTTGTAGGGACTTGTGGAGGTGGAGGCACAGCAGAAGTTGTTTGAGGATCCATCGCCGGCTGCGCATGGTAACCCGTGGTTGGAGGGACAACTTGCTGAGGCAAAGAATTGTGAGTAGCCATCGGTGTAACGCCCATACTTGGCGGTGGAGCAATGGTGGTTGTATTCGTGCTTCCAGGTACCGAAGCTGGTGCCTGAGTACCAAGAGGCGGCATGGGTATAACGCCTGTTGTTCCAGCTGATGTAGCAGAAGGTGTTAAACTATTTGGTACACTAGAAGTAACAGCAGCTGCACCAGAAGCTGGTCGTCCTCTACCTGCTCCTGTACCTCCTCCTGTTACTCCACCTACTCCTGGTCCACCAACTCTTCCAGCTTTTTTGCCTTTGGGTCCTTTTGGAACAGGTGGATCTAATACTACCTCTTCTTTCGGCATTTGTGCAACCTATGAAATTATTACACTATCATGTTTTATCTAATAAAAACAATATGTAAATATAATAAAATTTATTTGAAAAAAAAAAAAAAAAAGTATTTTACATGTATACACGTAAGGATGTTTCAGAAATAGGTCGCCAACCTTTAAGAATATATTCTATTCACTGTAAGGATAAAAGTCATACAAATGTGGATCTGAAAATTCTTCCTTTCTAAATTATATATATATATTATATATATTATAAATTATATATTATAAACATTTATAATTATTTTTGAAACATCCTGGTGTGTGTGCGCGCGCCCTTTCAGACAATTTTTAATTAATGTTATTTAACAAAGCATGTAGAAATGTTCTCGTAATAAAAATATACCTTTGTAAGAAATAATTTTTCGAGAGCCTGTGCCATGACTACAACATCCTCTCCTGGCTTGTTGTAGACATAACAGTTGGTGAACATAGTATTGAAATCCTGAATACATTCTTTCCCACTCCAGTAATACGAATTCTCCAACCGCTTTTTGATTGTGCCCAAGTCCATTGGTTTTTTGATGATTTTGTGATAATCCTTTTAAATAAAAAATGTGTTTTCCAAGTATTTTCCACACAATATAACAAAATTATTATAAAGCTCCAGGAAAGCATTTTACGAAGAGCCTTGTCCATATTAGGACTCTTGCGTATAGTAATGAATCATATACTGATTGATAGAGGAATGATAGTCTACTGAATATATCCCATATCCGTTACTGAAGAAAAGATCGTCAGAATCAGCAAATCAATTTTTCAAGATCACACAAAGGTCACCGTCATTTTTAAAATGGAATTAAATAATTTTTTTACATAGTTACATAGTATTAAAATAGATATAAAAAAATCAATACAAGATATTTTACATTTTATATCAAGATATTTTATATTTTATAATAACCATATTTTGACATAAAACATCTCATAAATTATTCATTTTTTTGGTAATCATATCTTAATGTTTTTATGCATAAAATGAATGAATAATAAGATAACTCAATTAGTATAATTATTAATACTTTAAGACTTTCACAAGTATTTTCTTCAGAAGTGTCAAAGGATTTGCGGGTTTCGCCGTGACGTGATACATTGATAATACCAATGTTTCGTGAACCTTGTCGTTCACTTCATCAGAATGAGGAGCGCACTGACAGTATCAGTGCTCTCTTTGCCGTGATGAAGAAAACGGAGAGGTTCACGAAACGTTGGTATTACCAATGGATCATGACATAGCACTTAACCCGCAAACCTTTGGCGCACATTGTTTTTCAAAATATGTAAATACATATTACAAAGTGTATAATTTTTTTAAAAAGCCACCGTGTTTTCTTTATACCAATTGATCATCTCATTATTCTATGCATAAATGTATTAAAATAGTAAAAAAATTAATGGTTAACAAGATATATATATTTCCAATTTCATATTAAAATATACTAATGTATCTCATGTTTAAAAGAGTACATCGCTAAATAGCGTCGACTTGGAGAACTTTATACATGAAACATTATAATCTTAATAATAATCTTTCACTTTCGTGAACCTATACGCAAAAGGTCTCCTTCCAAAAGAACCCATATAAAAATAAGATTCTTTTTGTATGTTGTACATAATAATTTAAAATACTATTTGTAATATTTTGCCATCTTTACGTACTGGTAAATTGAGTTTTTTCGCATCGACAGGTTGTTGGAAGGGCCAGGCAAATTGATGCTTCCATACTGGTTTCAAAACACCCTTTTGCAAAAATTGCAATTGATTCGTGATACGTCCTGGACGATCAGGTGGTGGAACAACCGGTGGTTGAACTACGCCATTCACCGGTTCCAAAGGTGGTTCGTCACGTGGGGGTGGTTCCTTTGCAGGACTCGCTGGCGTAGTCGAAGCCTTGCCAGGTGTGCTCGTCTATATTGTTCATTTTTATTAGTTATACAAATGAATGAATGATGTAATTTTCAATTACTTATGTATCTACATTATATAGTATTTTTACATGTTAAATAAGAAATCTATTAGGCACATCACATTTTGCAAAAGCGTACAGCTATAAAATTAATTCTACTTAATATTGATATATTCACACATTAATTTTGTGAGTATCATGCATTTTAGATTAATTGCTACATACATTTACATGCAGTGTTCTCAGATGTATTGTAAAACTATTAGCGGATTTATGTTTAGGTGCAACACATTTTATTTGTATCTAGGTTTTTTAATTAAGTTTTCATACTGGCTGTAATATTTTTCACAAGTTCTATAAAGTATTTTAAGATGCTCATTAGTACCACTATTGACGATCAATTTTATTTATAATATGATATTATTTTAGCTTATTTATAATTTGCATTTCAAGTCCGACAGTAATCAACGCATAATTTACATAACTAGAAAATACATTTAAAACTTATATATAAAATATTTTCAGCACAAAGATTTAAATCTCAATTGTTTGACCTTTTACTTATTTCATTCACATTTAAATTTTCAGCTCTATAAAGTTAGCAGGACCAAATCAGCAGAATCAAATCGGACCTGTCGGAATTTTTAATACTCATTTTATATTAATTTGTACCACTAATAAAAATTTTGTACTCTGTGCCGTTTTGAAGAAAAAAAAAATGTGGCGCTGCTAGCTTAATATTAAGTCAGCAGGATTACATAAAAAAAAAGGAAGAAAAGAAAGAAACAAAGGTACAAATGAAAAGTACTGAATTTGTAATAATTTATAGCAGCAAGAAAAAGTTAATACATTGATCAATTCCCTGAAAAACATACCCTCAATCCCTATCAGGCTCATTTTTACAATAAAAACAGCAATCAATTAAGTAAAGTTGACTGATATTAGCGAAACATGTATCAATCCGTATAACAAGGACACATACAAATTAATTGGAGCAGTTTCCTATAAAAAAAACTCATAACAAGAAGTGTTACAATGGGGCATTATACAGCCATCTGTTCAAGAAAAGGAAAATAAATTGAATACGATTTAGACAAGAGAGAAAGAAGTATTAAAGAGAATGCAATAATATCAGTATTATTAACTTACGCCAAAGAAAAATATATACCTGTCGTTATTATTATTATTGTCATTATTATTGATATTATTATTATTATTATTATTTTTGCTGTTATAGTTTATTGCGCACTCACAAAATCTCGAACTTTACATTTTGATGGTACCAATTATACTCTCTGGATTGTAAGAGTATCGACTGATTCTGTTCATGGTGTAGGATACTTTACTCTTGAGCATAATAGGGTTAAGTTTAATCGAGGGTTGTTTTTTCGGGGAATGGATCAATGTATTAACTTTTTCTTGCTGGTACAAATTAGTACAAATTCAGTACTTTTTATTTGTACCTGTTTTTTTTTTTTTTCTGCTGGCTTTATATTAAGCTAGCAGTGCCACGTTTTTTTTTTTCCAAAACGGCAGAGTACAAAATTTTTATTGGTGGTACAAATTAGTACAAAATGAGTACTAAAAATTCCGATAAGTCCGGTTTGATTCTGCTGATTTGGTCCTGCTAACTTTATAAAGCTTAAATTTTTTCAATTATTCTATATTTTCAATTATTCTATATATAGTAATACATAGAATATATTAAATTTGTCATATTGATATATCAATAACACTTAGTTGCTACAACGGCACAACTCAAAAATTGTCATTTTTTAAATAGTAGCTTGCAAAAAAAGCGAAAATATAAAGAAAAAAAAGAACATATTTTAAAAAACACACTTTTATTTCTTTATAATCAGTTATTACACTAAAATTGTATTTAAAAACTAATATTTTAATGATTAAAAATTTTCGAATTTATTTTCTGGAAATGTGTTTTTTTAATTACAGCAAATAAGCGATATTTGTAACAATAAAAATTTGTCAAATAAAATCATAACGATAAAAATTGTTTTAAATTATTAAAACCAAGTTAAAAATTGTATATGGCTCAACCTTCAAAAGACTTCTGAAAAAGACGGTATATCTCATTCGGGACCAGGTAGTTGGTCCCTTTATTTTCTTTTGAATTTCTATTTCTATTGCTGCGATTTAGCATTCAATGTTCTGAAATAAGACACAGCACACAGGCCAATGCATTGAAACTGAGATAAATCGACAAATAGCAGGTAAAAATTTAAAATCTTAACCATAATATTCTGTCGAACATTTGGGGCTTCTTTTGCTACAGCTCTTAAGAAAATAAGAAGGCTACGTGCTTCGAATACTTGTTAATAAGTCAGGTCAGTTTCTTCCTATTTTCTACTCTTGCAAATTTTGATATATTCCCATAAAACATATGCGAACGCAAAAATACATCTTATTTTTAGATTTTCGCAAATTATTTCATACAAATTACCATAGTTCTTTTGACATATTTCTGTAATTCACACTATAGTATCTCATAACACACGTTTTGCTAGAGTCAGCTAGAGCAAATATCGAAGTTGATATATATCTGTGTGATCATTAACTTTCTTTGCTTTTTCCTTTTGTAAATTGAATATAAGTATGTTCATTTCGTATAAATTGCAACTAAAACAAGCAAATATAATTATATCAACTCAATACACCAACAATAAAGTACAAACCGAACGCGTCTATCCTGTCTACAATTTCTGTAGAATGACTGTAGAATTTAGATCAAATCTTTATCTGTGTCTGCATCTACAGGTTCGTTCATTTTTACTTGTACTTTACATTTTCATGTTTTTCCTTTTCTTTTCTTGAACAAATTTAGTCCTCAACTTATTCTCCGTTTCCGAAAGTTCTAGAAAGTACAAGTAAGACAGACCTAAAAATCATATATTTACTACTATCACGGCATCATGAAGAATTTAAATTAAAGGAATAAACGATATCATTTTTGCGTTCGCAATCAGGGTGGATACTCAAATCTTATAAAAGTATTCCTTGAGAATTTCAGGTTTTTTCATGAATTTTATTCAAAATTCCAAGTAAGATTAGAGACATTTCTAAACAAATAATTCAAAAATTATATATACATACAAACATAACTTGTTTACAATATGATAAAAAATATGATTCTTATATTTAAAAAAAAAGATATATAAATAATATTTATAAGTAAATAATATTTAGACAACACAAAATACTGAAATCCATTTTTTAAAGCTTGAATTTGTTCGTTAAATGCATCGTTAAGTGCATCTACCTTCTGAGCATTTTCGAAAATTCGAATTTAACCAGTCTTAAGAAAATCGGTAGTCTTACTTAACTTAAGGTGCCTTTTCATGCTGACGCTCGACCCTCATTTTTAGCGTCAAAACACATAACATGATCAAAATTAACGGATATCAAGCATCAATTTCGATTACGTACCTATTTTGATGCTAAAAATTAGCGTTGAGCATCAGCATGAAAAGACTTTAGTCGTACAAATTGGCCAACTTCACTAATTTACCGGTAAGACTTAAGACTACCGACTCATTATAGAGAATCAGCATGTGCGAGATTTTCTACAATAGAAATTTAGTGATTCTAAAATCTAAAATCGTATTTCTTACGATTTCAGACTTTATGACCACTATGACTCCTATTGTAGACCACGTATTATCCCTTCACATGCTATTAGCATATCACAAATGGCTGATCGGCTACTATCTGACATTAGGATCTAGTCAAACTTACATTAGTTATTAAAAAATGGTCAAAAAAATGATTTTGTCAAACAAAATAGAATTTAAATATAAAAATTGAATTCGAAAAATTTCCCTGATAATTTCAAAAAAATTCTATGAGAATTCTAGGATTTTCAAGGGTAAAAAAAAATTTCCTGAGAATTCCAGATTTTCCAGGTTTTTCCCGGTAGAGGCACCCTGGCAATCATATATGTAAAAAAAATTATTTTTGTATGGATGTAGATATGAGTGTAGATGCACATTATTAAATATAGGATGTAGATATGAGTGTAGATGTACATTATTAAATATAGAATGTCTGTAATATCTGTCCATATCTCCTACATTTCAGAAATTGTTTAAAATTATGAAAAATCACGAAACACGCCTTCGATCATTTCGAAGGGTTACGCGGTACAATCAATCAGTACAATCCTTCATGATCAAACACGTATTTCGCCATTTTTCATAATTTTTCAAACCGTTTCTGAAATGTAAGGGATAGACAAACTTTACAGACACCCCGTATGTATGTGAGAATATTTTTAATATAGAATATTTTAATGTGAGAATATTTTTATATTTTATTATATACATATAATATTTAACATCTTCAAAATTTTTTAAGAGAAAAATTTCTTTGAAATTTGTACAGTTTTAGTCCTCTGTAATTCTAGGAAAAATTGAACGCTTGGTGTATTGTCCATCCAGATAATATTGTTTATTCAGCGTGATTCACGCATTTCACTATTATACGAGACAAAAATCTTGTTGATATAGGAAACTTTTCCTATATCAACGATATTGGAAATAAAGATATAAATATGAGATCGATTCTGAAAATATTTATGGAATTATTGAAACTTTCAAAAATGTATCTAAATGTGCGGCTAAAAAACGGTTTAAAGAGATGAAATCACAATTGATAACCGCAACTGATGTTTTCTAAATTCATCTCTTTATGTAAGCTACAAGTTCACAAAGTTTCATTAAAATCAGAATTTGACACCTCGAGAGGTTCCTTTTTTAGTAGATATTTACTTTTAGAGATACATGAAAAATATTCAAGGGAACATATATAAACACAAAAGTATTATTACATCAAATTTTGAATGTAATTGTACAAACTATAAACAATTAGAACAAGATTAATAAGTTTCATCTATAAGTTACATCTATAAGAGCTATACATACAATCAATTCACATACTCGTAACAAAATGCAGAAATCGAAATCTTCGAAAATCTTTTAAATTCTAAATTTTATTTTTGAGAGAGAATTATTTCATGAAAGATCAAAAAACGAAATCTCTTACACATGCTTCAATAAGTTTTTCTTTAAATTTCAAATTATTATAATTATATGAATATCAAGAATCTTACTTTTAAGAATTCTTTTACTTGAAAATATAATCTTAAGCATTATTTCTTGAAGTATCGTAAATTCGTTACGCATCGTATTTGTATAAATTATTAATAATTGTACGGGTAAAATATAATACATAAAATAACAAAATATAATTTACAATATACACAATATTTTTACTATTAGTATAAATTTTGATAATACGCATGCATTATTAATACAATTTCGTACAATATATTAGTACAATTTCGAGTATACATCATACTTTAAAAATTAATAATCACATAACTTCGGCATATTTAGCAAATTATACCCTCAATTTGTGATAATCTATAATAAGTAATTATGTTCTAATATAAAACATTAGAACTGTATTTATGATATAAATAATTAAACAAACGAATAAATATTTAATGTGTGAACATGTTATAATTTATATATTTATTTATATGGTTTTATATTCATACATTATTTATACATATATAGTTATAAAAATTATTTAGTTTAAGTTTGTTAATTTATAAAAATTATATACACATAAATAAAATAAAAACTATAGTCACAAAAGAAATCATAAAAAAATAATAAGTTAATAACTACACAATCCTAATCATATGTTTAATATTAAACTTGAAATTATTAATTATATACATTTCTCTCTCTCTCTCTCTCATAAATCAGGTTAATATCAAGTATTTTACATTTATAATTGCGATATTTTAAATATATAACATTCATAGGTAGTAGAGATCATGGTTTTGAATGTGTATTGGAGATACATGTGTAATTAGATACACATGAAAAAGATCACTAATAAGATAGACTACATTATTTCCAATCTCATATTACCTAATTCTTAAAGAATTGCTCTAAAAAAAATTAATTTTATAAAACCACGTGTCTGCTACAACACTGGTCAAATTAGAATAGGGCCGCATTTGAACTCAACATTTTCAGCGCTTCTATCCCTGTTTTATTGATACATTTAATAAAGATAGATAACAATTACAAGTGCTTAGAGCGCGTGTCGCGTAAGCGTCTAAACCGAATACAACGAGGTTAGATTTTCTACAATTTTCGTAATTTTTAAGTCTTGTAAATAAAAAAATAGCAATTTTGTAATAAAAATTTCAATTACTGTATTTTCTTCCATTTTGTTATGTCTTGAACTACTATAATAATTACTTTTATTACAATAAAACGAGACAGAACAATTATTTTAACAAACGATACGTGATTAATGATTATCAACGTCGAAATGACTAAGGCTACATTCCAAAACGTCCTCTCCGAGACAGATTTTACTCTATATAGTATAGTATAGTATATGGCACGTGTACTATATATTTCAAGTAGAACTTCTCTTGGAGAGAATGTTTTGAAATATATACCCTAAAACTGCAATTTTTGAAACGCATTCTCAATAGATGGTCAATCAATGAATTCTGTTTTCCGAGAATAAAAAAAAAAGAAAGCAGTCTTTTCTTGTGGATCCTGAAAACAAATTCCTTGGAGAAGAGAGAAGAAGAGAAAAGAAGAAAAATCTTCGACAATAGTACAATAATAATGGTTAAACTTGAAGGTCTGTCCCTTCTAATCCGTTCTTACTACCTGATCTTAAAAGAGAAATGGACATAAAAAAATGAAGGAAAAGTGCAAAGGATAAAAGAATTTATTGGATACCGAAATTTGAATACTAGGAAAAAAAAGCTTTAATGCTCTTCATGCAAATCACATCATATTTCAACTTTGACAACAATGGTACGAGATACAAAAGTTCAGACATTTTAACAGCAGTCATCTTCAGCTTAGAAAATGAAATGAATGTGAAAAACGAAAGGACAATGTCAATGCAATGGACAGAGAACTTGTTACGAGACATCCAAAAACATTTCGGAAAGAATATTTTAAGGATGTATTGTTCATACATTCTCTCTCAAAAAATTTGAGATTGAAAATATATTAATATTTACTTTCTAAATGAAAATTGAGATTAAAACTATATACATATAAATAAATTATACAAATAACGTATTTTTATTTATTCAGAGTATCAAACCTTGGCTTGGACAAAAAATTCCCTGAAAATTCCTGGTTTTCTCCAGATATTTTTATTCAAAATTCCAGGTAAATTTAGAGAAATTTTTAATGCAACTTTGAAAAAATTGGAATATAAATTTTTAAGAGTAATCAGGACAATTTATTGTGAAAGATTTATTACGACAGAGATTAGTTGTTCAGTAAATAGTTTTTTGAATCTATGCATCGCAATGTGAATTATTGTTAGCATATAAATCGTCTTTTATAAAACATTTAAAATACATATATAAAAAAACTGAAATTTTTGTTATTTTTTATATTGAAGTATTATAACAATAAAAATTAATAAAAAATATCAAATCAAATGAACTACATTAATGTGCTGTTAAATAAAAATATATTATTCACAAAACTGTTTCATACGTATATAGTTTTAGTATTAATTTTACTATAGCTGCGCGTTCAGAAATTTCACCTAGGTGCAGCCATGTATCATTTTATTCTTGTTGTCCGCCGAATGTTAAATAAAAAAAAAATGATACACGAGTACATCCGAGTGAAATTTTCGAATACAACCCATATATTACATTTAGTAACAACGGTATACAGTTAAATACAGTTAAAAACATTTTAATAACTGTTCATCTTGAATTTTAAAAATAAAATAAATATAGAAGATAATCCAGTACAATGAACAAAATACTTATTAGACATTGGCTCTCAAATATTAAAAAAAAAAATAAAATAAAATAAAATTATGTATATGGTTAAACAGAAAGATCTATCCATTTTAATTACATTACTCGACCTTGATTTTTGGAGAGAAATGAAGACGGAAAATGAGTGGAATGTGCAATGGAAAGAGGAGCTTAAGCGTCTGCTATTTTACACGTTATTGCGCATGCGTAGGACCTGTCCCTCCATCTGAGAACGCTGCTTGTGTATGTATCGCATTTGTAATATTAATTTCTAAATATATATAGTAGAATCTATAATACGAGATAACAAATGATATTAGAAAATTTTTCTATAAATAAACAAAAATAAATAAAAATAAATTTTTCAATATATAAACATAAACTCTTAATGAAACACATTTGAGTTAATGACCTCATTCATGCAATGTGTGTGTATGTGTATGTGTGTGTGTGTGCGCGCGTGTGTATGTGTGTGTGGGCGAATTAGGCTGCTAAATATTTAATTTCCATAACCACAGGCAAGCGATTTGGAATTCTGCATAAAAAAACCGTTACTAAAGACTATAACATTTAACAGTGAGAATTTAGAAATGAAATATAATGGCATTTTTGTGTGATTCATGCAAAATTGTAAGAATAAATCTTTGTCATTGAATAAGAAATAATTGTCAGAAATAATTCGTACAATAATTGAAACACAATATTATACATTTATACATAAAACGGCATAAATACTGAAATGTTTGTAATACTGATATGAATACGAGATAATATAGTGAGCAAAACGAAAAGAATCTTGCCTCTATAATAATATCAATAATATCAATAACAATATTTATTTTAAAATATTTTTATATTATAAATTATTTATTTGTACATTTAATATTTATTTCTAGAATTACGTCTACATTATTTACCACTACTTATAGTGATTAAAGCAAAATTATATATAGATTATTTATACACAGCATAATTTATTAGTTGCCAATTCATATTTCAACAATATATCTTAATGGAAACCATATTCAACAAGGTTTCTCACCTTCGGTATATTACACAGCCTTTCTCGCTCCTCCACATCTAACTGTAATTCATACATACTATTCAGTCAAACACAAGGCTCTCTTTTTTAATATGTTAGAATATTTATAACAACTATTACGCAAGGTATAAAAAAATGCAAACAATATTAAGAGTTATCAAAACACATGTATACAAACACAGAAAAGTTGATAAAAAATAATATAAAATATATTATACAGACATATATAGCAAGGTAATAATTTACAAAATGTTACTTGGACCAAAATGTTAAACATGTAATTTATATATATTTTATAACTCCTCCCAATTATTTCAAGTGGAAGCAATCTATGTTTATATAAATTCACATATTATGCTGTGAATACCAATGTTGCGTAATACGTAATGCTTTGAAACTGGGAAATTGGTAGATAGTATGGATATATTACAGGATTTTATGCAGCTTTTAAGTATTGCAAAGAGAATTATAAAGCCAGCTGCATTCTACACTGTAACAAAATATGTAAAACATAATATTACTCACAGAATTGTTCTGCGAGATGGTGTCCACCTGCTGCATCTTGACTTCGTTTCTGCAACAGAAAGAACAAAGCATAATAAGTTTCATTTATAAAATAGAAAAAATAATGTGAAACAAAAATTTGTTATATTAGTTAATTACGCGGCTTATGCTAAAATATTTTGTAAAGTATAGTAACAACTTTGTAAGAAAGAGAGTAAGAGCTATTATCAATCCTATCTAATAAATTACATTAATGTTTAACAAAAAGAATATATTATTTTTTAAACTCCATTTACGTTTTTATACTTGTTTCATTAGCAAGTTGGGATTTAACGAATTTTTCTCAAGACAATTTTTTCGATTATTTATAGTCGACACATAATCTAACAATTTTCATCACGTAACAAAGGGTATATTTGATAGGTAATTGTTTAAATTATAAGGCAATAAGTACGGTTCATAACGTCTCTTTTTTTTTTTCGAGTAATCGTTTATAATATATGGCTCATCCACTTCACGATAATGAGCTTCACCTACCTTTCCGACATATATGATACATAAATGCTACGCAGCAGGTAACTGCCTTACGTTGATGCTCGACGCTATGAGGCTTCATCAACAATTGAGATGGCAAGTATATATTCTGAATTGAGCATGGCAGCTCGTTAATTGCTTGCCAAGACGATTGCGCTGCAACCAGGAGTATTGGTGCCGAGGAGGCATAACACTACATAAGCCTACCGAGTGGTAGTACTTTGAATGTCAGCCCTGTGTACTGCTGTGAGACTCCGTACCTCCAGGCAAGACTCGCGACATTAGCAACATCTGGATAACATAACAATAGGACCCCATATTGTAACAACCCCAAAATTGTTTCATCGCTGTAGAATGATTTTTACATTGAGATGTACTCTCAGGGAATTTATATATTATTTAACATATCATGCAAAACTGAATCTAGTAGTACATGCTGGAAAAGCAAAATCTATTTCTTACTGTATTACTATATATTAACAGAGGTTATTAAGAAAAATATATATATAAATTATTCTTTTTTTTTTCTTATACATTACATTATTTTGTTAAAGAATACAGTTACTGTTACACAATATGTAATAATCTAAAATAATTTACATGCTTATATTGATGCAATAAAAAAATTGTAAAGTAAAATATTACAATACAATGACATTATATTGATTCAATGAAATACTTAATCTGTTCGCATTATTTATGTAATTATTATTTTTTAAAAAAAGAAAGAATGGCTCCATGCCAATTTTTTTTCAAAAGATGTAATTAACATTTTAATAATATATTTACCCCAATAATTTTAAAGGTAAGACAGCCTTATTAAAATTTCATTTTATCTTAACAATATATATACATTGTTGTAAAAAAGGGATATTTCTATAAACATGTATAAACTAGAAGACATTAATCTACACCAGTCTAATGCCTAACTTAATTCTATGCAAAAGAAATGATTAACTATAACAATTACGAATAAAATTATACAAGAGACGAGATTTTCAGCGACATGATTTTTGTACAAAAGAGATGCAACTGGGGTTTCATGAGGAAATAATCCAATGGAATTGTCACACATTCGAACAACACTGAAATTCTACATTTCCAAACATAAAAAAAAATTCACTTGAATCTGGAATTGGATGCAAAATTCGGCGTATTTCAGAGTTCTTCATCGAAGCGAGCCAAAATGGAAAGTTTGACTAAAGTAGCACAAATAAGTGTTACACTGGTATAGAAAGCGAGGAGGCTGTTAAAATGCAAAATTGACAATGCGCGCGGGGGAAGATCACACATCGCGTCTACACGATGACCGTTAAATCTTGGCCAACGATGGACGAATTTCTGTGAATGCGATCGAAAAAGAGGAACACTTTATGCTATGACGTGCCAGGTATCAGGGGCAGATAGATAAGAGATCGCGCGCTCGACGCGAACAGGTGCTCGAAAAAGTCATCCGAGATAGGAGTGGAGAAAGGCGAAATCCACGCGAAAGAGAAATAAGCGTGGCGGCGAAGAGAACGACAACGACGACGACGATGACGACGACAACGGACGACGACGACGACGATTTTGATGACTATGACAACAGCAACAGCAACCGAGAGTTATCAAGTGGAGGAGCCGGAGAGAAAGGCGAGGAGAAGAATAGCGGATCCGCGCCCAGCCGACGCACAACAAACATGAGTGAACCGTCGCGCGGACGATCCACCGTCCGTCCGACCAGCGCTGTCGAACGAACGAGGCGACTGGCGCCACGGGGAGAAAGAGAGAGAGAGAGAAAGAGAGAGAGAGAGAGAGAGAGAGAGAGAGAGAGAGAGAAAGGGAAGGAGGGAGAAAGAGAGAGAGATGACGCCGTGAGAATTTGACGACGGGCAAGAACCTAAGAACCGGGACGGGGATGACCGCGGCGCGCGCGGTAACCCGGGCAGAGACCGCCTTACCGGACACTCGTATTCGGCGTAGGATCTCAACATGGCGGTATGGCCGTTGAGGAAAGAAAGGCTCCCAAGGGCCCGCCGCTACGTCGCACGTCGCACACCGCGGTGCGGCGTGCCGCGCTGAGCGCTCATGCAGCACCGCCGCGGCTCTAACGCGCCACACGCCACACGCGCTTTACACCTACGACCGACGATCGTAAAAACGGGCGGCGAACGCCGAGCGCCGAGCTCGGCCAAGTTCCCGGCGTCGCGCGCGGGATCGCTTACCTGATCTCAAGGCGGAAGTCCGTTTTTCCACACACACGGTCACGGCAACTCGAGTCGCAAAGAACACACTAGCACTAACGGCCCCCTGACAACTCGCACTACGCTTTCTCCCCTCGCTCGGTTTAGTTTGGTTGGTCGGTCGGTGTTATGGCCGCCGTAAGCCGTAAGCGAGTTAGTGGCCCCACCGTATATCACCGCACTCACTCTCACTCGTGCGAGCGCGAGCGCGAGCGCTCGGTTCGCGTACGCAACGAGACGGGAAGGGACGAGACGGGACGGGACGGGACGAGATGGGAACGCGGAGACGCGGTCCGACACTCCGACCAAGCTCACTCCCAGGCTTACACGCGTCCGTCTCCCAGCGCGACTCGGTACACGTATCAATGCTCCGTCTCGTGCCCCGTCGACGTTATCCTCGAGCTCCGCGTAATCGAGTCCCTTTCCGTGCCCATGGCGATCTCGGATCTAGAAACTAACGATCGCAGCACCAACAATGGCTACGCATTCTTCCGCGACGTACCGAAATGGTCCCGTTCCAACGTTCCCCACTAACGACCCGTCTTCTACCGTCTCCTTCGCCTCGCACGGCGAGACTAGCGACGTGTACCTCTAACGCAACGCAAGCGCGCCAATTACGAATACCACCAGCGACGCCTAACGGGCTCCGCTTTCTTCATTTCGGACAATACGGATCTATCGCCGATATCGATCCCATTGGACGATCGACGACGATCGGACCAATAACGGGGGCTTTCCAAAGAGGCGTTTTCCCCTTTCCTTCCTAATTCGACGCCTCCGACGCACTGCTAAGTAGCGGACGCTACAACGCTCAGGCATGTGAGAAGCCTCTAAAAATGCATGGATAACGTGAAGGGATACCCTGTCGTTTGAGCGTACAGGGTGGAAAGTCAGGCATTGACCTGAATTTAATTTTAGGCCACATTTATTACTTAGAGTTACAGATAACAGAAATATATATATATTTGCGCTTACAATCTTTATTTGCGTATATATGTGTACAGCTTTATTAACCAAACCAAAAATTAATGATTAATTTCCAGTGTTCCAGTTTTTCCACCCATAATGCACTTCTCGATGGAAACGAGACAATTTATTGTATATCATCAATAATATTATTAATAATAAGAGTTCGTGATCGTCGGCGAGACTCGTCGCATCGCGCGCGGCAATCGGTTTGCCGAAGCGAAACTTTACGTAGACTTTATCGTCGTGCCGAGGAACGGTCCGATTCCAACGATTCTGCTGTTGCCACGCGACGCATCATGGGAAAGTGCGAGACGCAAAATCCATAATTACCGACTCACGAAGGTACCGACCGCGTCTCAACGGCCGGTCCAAAGGCGCAACGATACGGAGAGAGCCGAGCAGCACGTGGCCAAGACTTTTCCGCGCGGTTTTACGTAGCGTTTCGCCGTGACGTTGCGTCCCGTCACGGACGTAGTTATCGGATTCCGTTAACGCTCTTATCCAACATGGCGATACATGGAAACGATCGATCTCCCCGACTCCCCCCTCGTCCGCCGCGGCCTCGAGACTCGAAGACCCGCCGAACGAGCGCGGGGAGACGCGCGAGACGCGTTGATCGCGCGAATAATATCGCGACGCGGCTCGTCCGGATAGCTCCCCGCTATCGCCTTGGCTGCCGGCCGTCGAACGTTTTAACGCAACGACGCCGCGGCCTTCGCCGCATCGCGTCGGGCAGAATCGTGGACTCGTGACACGCCACTACGAGGGTCAAATCAAGGATCGGGTCGTAGTGGCTACGTTCCGTCGGTAGCATGCTCACGAAAAATATGATAATTTTCGAGCAACTACCGTTTTTCATCAGTTTTACAGGAGGCTCCTGGTGGACGGCCGACCACGTGCGTTCGACGCGGCGCGGCGGCGTCACTCCGGCGGCGCAATATGGCGAGTCCTTCGTATCAATGTCTTTGTGTGTACATATGTATATGTGGACGCACGTGTGTCACTCGGAAACTCAACCACTACCTCGCACTACGCTGAATCAACTCTCACTGCGTCAAACCACTGCGTGGAACCACGACGCGAAACGCCGAGACGTCATCGGTCGTTCGCAGCTCGGATTCGACTAGGCAACTTCGACAGTTTCGACGCGACGCGCCAGATTCTCGTCCGATATTCTTGACATTGACAAACCCGCCTCTCCGCTCCGATGACGTAATGATATACGAAAGTCAGGGGGAAAAGAAGGAAAAAAAAAAAGGAGATACGTACGTACGGCGATAGGTACACGCGATGGTGCGTTGGACTCTGCGCGTTTCTCTCTTTCCGGTCGCCATTTAACTCCGCGTTCTGACCGACGATTGGCTCGCGCTCTCGGCGTCTCTCTGACGCGGACCAATCGTCCGGGGGACCGATATTGATGAGTCATTGCGTTTGCGATAGAACGTACTGATACCTGACCAGTACAAAAGTAACGGTAAACGGGTTTTGTTTGCTTACGTGACGGACCCAAGAATTTCGAAATTTGTCAAATTTTCCACGGTGGTATTCATGGTCGTTTTTTATACTATATCAAGATTTTCTCGTTTGCACAAAGACGCAGGTATCTATGCGCATACAATAAAAGAAATTCTTGAGAAGATTATCTATAGACCGCCGAAAGTTTCCATCGAGAGACGCGTAGACAAATATTTAGAAATATAAAATATGTAGCAAATATGTAGAGAGATAAATAGTCTTTCGATAAAGAAGACGCCTTAAAGTACGTTTATTGTAAATTAATCTTATCTAAATTCGAACTTGCATCAGTCGTTAGGTATACGAACGATTTCCAGGAACGGATCTATAATGTATTTTAGTAGCATTATATTCCTGATTTTTTTCCCAATAGATTTTTACGATGCACATATTTTGTGCATTAAAAAAAATATATATATATGTGACAAAAGCTTGCGGTAGAAATTTTTGAAAAATTGATATATATATATATAAATATAATTTTATAATAAATGTAATTCGTAAACGCAGATGGAGTCACGTCACGGAGCCATAAATAAACACAAACACGTGTCCGCACGTGGTTGACGTAGTGCATGATGCAATTGAATGAATTGCATCAAAATTTGCATCTTACATCAATAGAGCGAGATATGCGATATGAAAAAAATTTCCAAAAATTATATTCGAGTATGAATTAAAGTTGCAACGAATATTTTAAGTAACTATTTAGTATTCTGTTTATTCAACATTTTTACTATTCGGCCGGACACCGAGTATTAGTTCACTATTCGATCGAATACCGAATAGTTTTAATCGTAAAATTCTACTATTCTTTGATATTCCGCACATGATAAAATATGTTTAATTAGATGATCGTGAAAAATTTTCTCAGAATTTGTATACGAATTGGAACACTCAGAAATGCAGAGATTAATTTCTACTGTCTTTCCTTAGAATTTTTCATATATGTAAATTCTGAAATATTCTTAGATTTCTTATTCTATCATTTCTGAAAAAATACTTTAAATTTTTTTAGATTTCATAAGGATTTTATTAGAAATTATAGAATGAGAAATCTTAGTGTATTTCAGAATTTACATATATGAAGAATTCTAGAATAGACTTTCTCAGCATTTCTGAAAAATGTTACAATTTTTAATTTTACAAATCTGAAAAATTTTCTAAAAAGTTATAAAATTAATCAGAATTTCTGAAAATCTGAAAAATTTATATGAAAAATTCCGAGAAAGATTTTCACCAAGGGATTTCTTATTTTAGAAGCCACAGTACGCACTCTCCATAAAAGTAATGAAAATAATAACTTTTTAGAAAAAGATATTTTACATCGCGCGATATGAGTCATATAAGGTTTGTTCGCGTCGCAAGTTCAACATGCTCCAACATGCTCCTACTCACTCTACCAAGCACATTAGAGTGAGTAAGAGCTATAGTAGGAGCATTTTGGAGCATGCGACGCGACAAATCTATATATATATATATATATACCAAGCGGGCAAACCTGTCGCAACATATACACGTGCACGAAGATGCGGTTGGGATATCACACATTGTTTTTGTTAAAATAGTGCCTAATATTTGTCGAATATTCAGTTATTCAACACATAACTTTATCGAATATTCCGGTTATAATAAATGCCGAATATACTATTCGTTGCATCTTTAGTATAGTTTCCCTCTTTATCATTCTCAAAATATTTAAAAATTAATATTTACGTTTTTTTCAACAAGCACATGATGCCTTTTCTAATTTTTTTCTGAAGATAGACACCATGACATCACACCAAAAATAAAAAAATACAGTTTTAAAAGGAGACAAAGCAAGATGCCTGAAGACATCTTTTGCCATAATTTTTAATGGTTCAGATTATCTCTTATCTACTTTCTAAAATATAAAATTTTGTCCTAAAAGACCCTAGAATTTAGTCTTCTCAGCTTTCTCAATCTAATGAATTCCAAAAACAAGTAGTCTCAAGTAATAAAAATTTCGTTGTATCTATTCTTTCGTAATTGTTATAAATTTTTTATCAAAAATTGGTTATACTAGCATTTAGCATGATGTATTTATCATATATGACTACATAACGTGTGTTCGCGTTGATTGTACCCGAATGTATGTACATTTACTTCATTTTAAGCAAAAAAAAAAATTTTGAGAATTTCAAGTAACCTAGAATTACGTCAACTATGTAAAGATAAGATACATCGTGAATAAAAATTAAAATTTATTTGTATATATGTATGTGTAATAAATTTTTTTTCATTTCTCAGAGCCCGGAATAACATTTGAAATGTCACTTATAAGACAACGAGAAAAATAATAAATCTATTATATGATATAAACTGCATTTTACTTAAATATTCAATTAAAATATGGTTTATATTATAATAGATCTATATTTAAATAATATTGTATTCATGTGTGCATTTATAATTAACATAAATTCCAAATATTATTGATTATTCTGAGTTCTGATAAACACGAAAAAAGTTAGTAATATATCTATACTTAATAATATTATTTTATTCGTGTATTTTACAATTGATATAAGTTTCAAATTATAATGAATTTGTTTGATTAAACACATGTTTGAATTTGTCGCAATGCATGTGTCAATGTACACAAGTTTATCACATTTTTTTTTCATCTTTAGCAATTTTATCATACCCATGTTATCGAAAATACATGTACATACATATTAAAGATTTATTCGGAAAGAACATCAAAGAAAAAGATATCATATATATTACAATAGGATAAGAAAATTATTCTACTGACATATATTGTCCTTTTTAGAAGATCTTTCAAGTTCTCGAAATTTATATAAATTCGATATATATAATACATAAATATATAATATTATAGTTTTTTTATTAAACAATTCCCCAAACTTCTTCAAACGCTGTACATAATTTACTACAGGCAATGGCGCCTGAGAGAGGATAATTACTAATTGAGTAGGTATCTTCTGTATAATCTGTTTTGACCTACGAAGAAAAGAATATGAAATATTTTGTAATACAGTTTTTAACATAATAGTAATAATATATTGTTTTAATAATAATAACTTACTTGACCATGAGCCATAGCTCCAACCACAATAGCAATGGGATCTTCAGTAGGTACAAGCTCTCTTGGATTTAGTACTTTACTTGCATTGAATGACATCAATATCTTTCGACAACCAACTGGCAAATGATTTGTAATAGGATTCTTGATTACTTTAAGAAGCTTCATTGGACCATCCGATGCTCTGACACCATATTTATGTAATAATTGTACTGCAATAAAACACTTAATACATTAATAATATTATTAAGCAGAAATAACTAGGTTTATGTAACTTAGGTTTATACAACTTTACTATGTTACATATAAATAATGGAATGTATACTGTACATAAATATACATTGTTAAATATATTATGGGATCGAATTTAAACCAATTCTTTACATTAAATAACATTTTATCTTTAATTACTAAGTGTGTTGAAATATTATTTTAATTCAAAACGTATGATAAAAAAAAAATCACATCTATTAAATCATTTTTGCAATCGAATTGCATAGTTTCAAAATAAATAGTTTATAGGTATTTATTAACATATGCGCATAGCAAATAATAAACTAAATTTGAGTCAAATTTATTACATTTCTTGAGTTAAATTGTAACTCTATTGTTTTAATTAAATTAATAACATAGTGAATAGGAATAGTAGTGACCTACAAGAATGATTAAAAATAACTCAAATTAGATATGATTTAACATTATGAATTTAACAGTGAAGGCTGATATTCAATCACACACATAATTCTTATATTTGAGAATGTCTCATGTAAACCTCAGTCCTAAGGACTGTGGTAGAAAGACTGACTTATAATCTTAGGACAGTGTCTTATGACTTAAGTCTTATATCTTTAGTAACCCCGGATTTACAATAGAGTTCTAAGCCTTAAGCCATAAGAAATCGATGAATCATAGTCGATTATTCTCCTCGAATTTGACTGTTTGGTCAAATTCTTACGGCTTAAAACACCTATTGTAGATCCGGACTTATGCATAAGAATGACTTATGTTTTAAAGCATATTCATACACCATATTTATACATCTTTAATGGTCATTCTACAATAAACCATTAATCATAAATCAGAAATTGGAAATTGAAGACTGTGATTGATTGATCTTCAGTTTCTAACTCTACGTCATAAGACAGTTCTTGTGCGTTATTAAAGACATAAGACTTAAATCATAAGACACTGTCTTAAGATTATAAGTCAGCTTTTTATTAAGGTCCTCACTTATAATCTTATAGACTAAAATCAAGTCTATAAATCTTTATTATTGTTATTTAAAGCTTATTTATCTATTAAGTGCACAATATAGTTAAAATGATTATCCACATTTACCCATCAATCCAGCAAAGCGTTTGAATGTCCTTGGTATTCTGGTTTGTGGATTAATTTCAATCAATACATTTTTTTCCGTATGTATATAAACTTGCAACAATCCAGCTCGATTTAACGGACTGTCCATTAACATTAACAGACACTGATGAGTGATATCTGGTCTACATGTGCCGGGATCACGCTTATATTTTTTCAAAATGTTAGTGTGATCATCGCAGTTCAACAGTTCAAAGCTATTTCCAACCTGCAATTATGTTTTAAGCTTGTTGATGCAAAAAAATAAAATTATATAAATATAAATAAATAACTGATAATGATAAAAAGCATTGTTGAATTTATAATCCTCGATAAATGTAAAAGGAAATATAAACTTACTTTTACAGATTCCAATTGAGAATTTTCTAGTATAACGATAAGACGCTTTTCTTGATTCTTGATATGGCCTATTTGCAAATGTTTAGGAGCTGGATCGTATTCGTAATCATCCTCATCACACTTCTTCCTTTTGTTTCCCATTTTACACGGTCAAAATTAATTAAAATCAATTTAGACACGTAAGAAACAAACACACGTGCGATTGTTTGGTTTAACACAACCAGAGAAAATTAGAGAAACCTGAGAGAGGCCATGTCAGCCTTTTTCCTGTTACCGTCAAAATCGCCTAAAGTCACTAGATCTATAAAGTACCGCAAACTCGCATCCATTTTGTAGCAAAACGCGGCCATTTCGAATTTATGCATTTGTGGCTGCAGTCCACTTGACGCTACAAACGCTTCGAAGCATTCTTTGATTAGTTAATTCGTAAAATTCTTTGTTCTGATTGGTCGCATTTTTTCTTTATAAATAAATTTTTAT